AATGAGTTGTTATATTCAAAACACTAAAAGCAGTGTTTGACATATGCTCAGTAAATATTAGCCATATCGTCATTAATATTATTACTACTGAGCACAGATGTTCTCAGGATTCAAAATAGTGGACATCAAAAGTCACTCAAAGCTCCTGAAGTCTGGGGGATCTTCATCTACTGCAGAGATGCCAAGCCAAGGAAACCAGAGACGGCTAATGCTTAGGTGGCACCTTCACAGTTTCCTGGGCATCTCTACGTTTTTGACAACCATAAGACTAATCAATCCCCTTTGCAATAAACACATTCCTTCTTGGATAAATGAACACAGCTTTAGTAAAGTGGCCGTCAAGTTCTGATGACCTGATGACATTTCCTTTCTAAGATGGCTTTACACAGCCCAGCTGCAATATGAGCTGATTCCAAGTTCTAACTCTAATGTCAATCTTTCTTAACATTTAATTTTAAAAAGCATTTTTAAATACAGCAATGCATTCTTCATTATACCTTCTCAATGCATAATACCTTCTCAGTGTGAAAAACATAAATCTTTATATATAAGGCTGAGGCCATGACGTTTTTTATTGTGGTAAAATATACATAACATAAAATTTGCCATTTTTACCATTTTAAGTATGGTTCAATGGCATTAAGTACCTTCACATCACTGTGCAATCATCACTGCTATCCATATCCAGAATTTTTTCACCTGAAATTCTGGTGTGAAACCCTTTGGTCCCAACTGAAATCTCCTCTCTTTTGGGCTTGGCATGTATATAATTTCAGACAGTACCTTCTATGTTAGGGGGAACCCAATACATGCTGGATGGGCACGATGACCCAGGAGGGAGATAATCCACTGGCGGGTGTCTCACCTGAAGGTCTTCTCACTCCAAATCGGGGAGAAGCATTACCAAGCAATAAAATGACAGTGTTATTTCAAAGGAGGCAATCAGAATCTGGCTGACTACCATCTGAGCAATTAAATACTCTAATATTTTCCACAGTCCCTGTGAATGTGAAATTCGGTGCCTGCTACAAAGACATGGCACTAGCAGAGACAATAATTTTTCATATTTGCAAATATCCTTTACCTACTTTGGGTAGAAATGGACATTAGTAGTCTACATTCTTGTCAAAGCTAGCCATAAGTGTTGTCATTCCTGGTTTTGGTTTTAACTTAAAAGCAAAACTGGAAAGAGACATCCTGTTTGTGAAACATGATGTTGTAGGCTAATGCTACAAATACATATAAATTTTGAATAAAATAAAATAAGCAAGCATAACTAAAGAGGTAAGCTTTGGGGGAAAAGGAAACAAGGAAAGAAAGAACAAGCAAAGGGAAATTCCCCACCCAGGTGGCAATGACTTTGTGTGCAGTGGCTCAGGGAATGATCAAATGTGATTCAGGCCCTCGGGGCAAGAGTTTGCACCCTCTGTGGGAAGAGCAGGGGCCTCATTCAAAACCAAGAACTGAAACCAAAGCCATGTGTCCAACCTGGACTTTGGAGGGGTGAACCTCTTGATAAACAAGGAGACTAAAAAAACTGAACCTAAGCAGGAAGGTGGCAAAGCAGCTTTCTCTACTGATAGCTCTGGGGAGAAAACAAAGCTATTTGTGAGGAGTCCAAATCCTAGACCAAAGTAGGTGTGCATCCTAACCCACACTACCTGTGTAGTGTGCAAGTCCTCAAAAACTTCAGATAATATACTGTGAAAGAGATGATGAAATAAGTATGTTTACAATTATTAGAAATACAGAAAGAGGAAAGTCATGAAAACAGGTAATTAAGAAAAAGAACAAAAACTTTAAAAATGGAAAATATGATTCTTAAACTTTAACTGGATGGGTTAAAAACATATTAAACAAGATTAAAAAGAATTAATGAACTAGAAGGCAGCTATGAAGAAATTTTCTAGAAAGAAGCACAGAAAAATAGAAAGAAAATATAGAAAGCAGTTAAGAGACATGTAAGACAGAATAAAAAGAATATCGATGTCTTATAGGAATTCCAAAAATAAGTAAATAAAATGTTGTTTGAAAATAATGGCTAATGATTTTTTTGGAAATGATGAAAGACCTGAATCCTCAGGAGCAGGAAAATAAGAATAAATAAAAATAAAAAATAAATCCTAAATATATAGTAGTGAAATTACAAAATGCGAAAAACAGAAAACCTGAAAGTAACCAGATAAAAGACAAACTGCCTATGAGAGAGTAAGAATTAGACTAAGACTATATTTCTCATCAGCAACAATAGGAGCCAGCAGTACAGGGGTTGGCAAACTCCCTCTGTAAAAGGCCAGATGATAAATATTTTAGGCTTCACGAGCCACATGTTCTTTGTGCAACTACCCAACTCTGCTAATATAGCATAATAGCCAGAAACAATATGAACACAAATGAGCATAATTGTATTCTAATAAAATTCTAGGGGACCCTGGTGGCTCAGTCAGTTAAGCATCTGACTTCATTCAGCTCAGGTCATGATCTCAGGGTCCTGGGATTGAGCCCCAAGTCCGGCTCCAGGCTCAACAGGGAGTCTGCTTCTCCCTCAGCCCCTCCCCCCACTTGTGCACCCGCTCTTGCTCTCTCTTCTCAAATAAATCTTTAAAAAATTTCTACTCATGGATGGACACTGAAATTTGACTTTTATATAATTTTAGGGTGTCCTGAAATACTCTGTGGATTTTTTCAGTTGTTTAAAAATATTTTAAAAGCAATTCTTAGCTTATGGGCCATACAAAAATAGCCTATGGGCTGAATTTGACCTATGCGCTACAGTTTCCCAATCACCAGAATAGTATCTTTTAAGCAGTAAAGATAAAAAGGAAAGGGGGATGGGGGATGCGTTAGCCTGGTGATGGGTATTAAGGAGGGCACGTACTGAATGGAGCACTGGGTGTTATACGCAAACAATGAATCATGGAACACTACATCAAAAACTAATGATGTAATGTATGGTGATTAACATAAAATAATAAAATTTTAAGAAAGCCATTAACCTAGAATTCTATGCCTAGCTAAACAATCACTAAAAGATGGAAGCTAAAAAAAAGACAATTTACTACAAAGATGGAAAGAAATTACCACTCAAAGAATCTGGTTGAAAGAACTCCTAAAAGATGTGTATCAGGAATAATAAAATTAAAATCAGAAGGGAGTGAAATATAAGATAAAATGCTGGAGGGAGAGAGAAACAAACAAGCAGGTGTATCTGAAGGAGCACTGAAGGCAAAAAAAAAAAAAAGTAATAATGATGATACATTTTGCTTAAAAAACAAACAGCATCAAATTACCAGACAATAAAAACTTGTAAGATGGAAGGAGGGCAACCAGAAATAAAACATTCACAGTGTCTGTATCTCTCAAAAGAGGCCAGAGATGATTAACATTAAATTCTGTTAAATCAGTTATGCATAGTTACAAGTTTAAGGGACATCACATAAGGGAAACATCTTTTTACTTTAATAGGTATTTATTTACTTTGTTAGGTGACTTTCAGTGATATAAAATCTCAATCAACTTATTTAAAATTTGAAAAGTGAGATAACTTACAAATATTTAAATAATAAAATTGGTAGTAAAGGGCTATGGCAAATATTTTTATACTGGTTGCAAATGACTTCAGTTCAAGTTTTCTCAAAAGCACTATTCATAGAGATAGGTGTGATTTTTCCAAATACATAAAATACACACAGCATTTTTATAATTTTTTTTTCGAAACACCAAAAGAGACTTGCAACTGTCATTTCTTAACCAATGAGCTATCACGCCATGAAGACATGGAGGAATATTAAATGCATATTACCAAGTGAAAGAAACCAACCTGAAAAAGCTACATACTATATGACGCCAATGATAGGACATTCTGGAAAAGGTAAAACTATCAGACAATTTTTAAAAATCAGTGGTTGCAGGAGGCAAAGGAGGAAGGAGGAATAAATAGGTGGAGCACAAAGGAATTTTCAGATAGTGAAACTATTCTTTACCATACTTTGATGGTAGATACAGGTCACTAAATTCCACAGAATGTATAATACCAAGAGTGAACCCTAATGTTAACTTGTGAACTTTGGGTGATAATGATGTGTCAGTGTAGGTTCATCAACTATAACAAATGTACTACGCTGGTGAGAAATATTGGGGAAAGGGGAATGACAGGCGTGAGAAACAGGAATTCTCTGTACCTTCATTCAACTTTTCTGTGAACCTAAAACTACTATTTTAAAAAGTAGTTTTTTTTTTTTTTAATTCACTTGCATATAATTAATTTTTTGTTTTGAAGACAGGTCAAGAATTATACCAGCTAACATTTACGGAGCATTTTACTAGATTTTCTCTTAAATGCTGATGAAATAGATACTATTATTTTCGTCTCATAACTAAGGACATCGGGGCTAAGAGAATTTACGTAATTAAGGCACATTCACAGAAAATGTAAACATCTGTTTATCTGACCACAAGGATGGCTTATTTGCTAGTACTCTGATGATTTATTTTCATTTTCTTCTATTATCTGGCTTTAAAATACCTTCAGTTATTTTAATTACAAGCCTTATATTTTATTTGTGCACTACTGTGCAGAAAAGAAGACCTCAGAGCCTACAAAGCCTAGAATGCAGCGCGGCGCCGGGCCACCTTAGGGACGCAGCAGCTCGCCCCTTATCATACTGGGAAAGGTAGTTTTCTGGCCTGCCTCTCTTCCCCCGCCCCCCGAGCCTCCGGATCGGAGCTTTGTTCCTATTCCCCTTCCCCGGCGCCACGGTTCGACCGACCCACCTGTCCTCGCAGGTCCTCCCAGTTCTGGAGACTGACGTGGGGATGCGCCCTTGACGCCCTGGACTCCGTCCCCGCGTCCCTGTCGGGCGGGCCAGCGCTACCCACCTCACCTGCAACTCCGAGACACAGCGCTCAAAGGAGGACGCTCAGCCCGGTTACCACAGAAACGAAGTGCCTACGTCACGGCGCGTGCGGGAAGTGAAAGGTCATACCAGCTAGTTCCGCTTCCTGTTCCGGGATTCCGCTTGTTGTCAGAAAGCTTTGGGGTTCCGGCCAGCGCTCGGGGCCTATTTCTGGGGTCCAGGTTGGCGCGAGGTCGGCTGCTGCAGCCATGGCGGCCTCCACCGCAGCCGGGAAGCAGAGGATTCCCAAAGTGGCCAAGGTAGGAGACCGTGAGCGGCTTTGAGGGAGGAGGCCCCGGAGTGGGGCTTACTCCAGCTTCCTTGGGGCTCGCGGCGAGAGAGAGTGTGGTGCCCAGCAGTTCTACCCCATGTAGGCCAAGGGGAAGAAGGAGGGGAAGGGTCAGCCGGTGGTGGGGTACAGGCTTTTGTCACCCCGGGGCAAACCCCGCGTTGGCGTGGCCTTCGTTCTAGGACGTGTTTTTGCTGGGGGAGGAGTGGGGTCACTCGGCAGAAATTGGGCGGTGCGCTAGGCGCTGGGGAACTACGATCTAATGAGGCGATGTGCAGCGTTTACATAAGACACGAGTCAGTGTAAAATTACAAGCTTGCCAAATGCTAGTGAGGCAGCGTAGAATATGCCGTGGAGTAATGGGGGTTGTGTGAGGGGTCTGCAGAGTAAACTTTGCTGAGGAAGTGATATTTAAACTGACTTGATGGCTGACTAGGAGTTAGCCCAGCTGAGAGTGGAAGGAATGAGAGGGCATGGGATTGTGTAGTGGCGTTAATTTAATTAAACAATAAATTTGATGTTATCTGGTATTTCTATCGGTAGCTGATACTTACTGTTTCATATGTGACAGGCTTTGTCCTGAACCTTTTCAGATGCCTTCACTCCAGTCTGTTTCTCCAGCCCAGGTGGCTCTCTTGAGCTTGTCCTTTACATATCCATTTAGATGACCCCCAGAGATAATTTATATGTCACATAGCACAATGTCTGTGATTACACGAGCCATCATCATTACTAACAAAATCATTCTACACATGACATTAAACAGTTAATATTTCTTATAATTCAATTCCATAAATTTTTTAAAAGGTTTTATTTATTTGAGAGAGAGAGAGCACAAGCAGGGGGAGTGGCAAAGGGAGAAGCAGGCTCCCCACTGAGCAGGAGGCATGATGAGGGTTGATCCCAGGACCCTGGGATCATGACCTGAGCCGAACGCAGATGCTTAACTGACTGAGCCACCCAGGTGCCCCTCAATTCCATAAAATTTTTATTGGGCACCAGTGGTGCAACAGAAATGCAATGTGAGCCACATATATAATTTTAAGTTTTCCTATAGCTATGTTAAGCAGTCAAAAGAGTCATCATTAATTTTAACTGTATATTTTCTTTAATCCATTATATCCAAGATATTGCTGTTCCAACATGTAGTCAAATTTAATTAGGTAGTTTATTGGTTTTTTTTTTCATATGAAGTCTTCAAAATCCAGTGTGTATTTTGCTCTTACAGCCCATCTCTATTTGGGCTCACTACATTAGCTCATGGCTACTATGTTGGACAGCATAGCCCTAAGACTTCAAGAAACTTACGGTCTCATGATGGGAATTTACTGAATAATATCTTTGACTTGAAATGCCATGAAAAAAACAAATGCAGTTTGAGGTGTTATCGTCCACCTGGGACATAATTGAAAAATTCTGTAAACAGAAGTGGCAACACTAGAAAAGATATAGCACACATCTTGATAAAACAAAACCTCTAGTGAGAATTTTACCTAAGCAGCCTCAAAGTTTATTGTTTTTTTTTTTAAGATTTTATTTATTTACTTGACAGAGAGAGACACAGCGAGAGAGGGAACACAAGCAGGGGGAGTGGGAGAGGGCGAGGCAGGCTTCCCATTGAGCAGGGAGCCCGATGCGGGGCTCGATCCCAGGACCCTGGGATCATGAGTTGAGCTGAAGGCAGACGCTTAACGACTGAACCACACAGGCACCTGTATTGTTACACTAATCTAAAAGGGAACACTTACTATTTTTGCTCCCTTTTCTCTTCATACTTACCTATGGCTTTGTAATAAATACCGTGCGAAAGAAAACCTTGTTTTCTCTTTAGTTTCATAGAGAAATGAAAACCTGTCATACAAAGAGGGCATCTTGTAATAATACTTAGAAAGTTCACATCCTAAAAAATGTTTCTTTGCTTCCTAAATGTTGTGTGGTGAGCATCTACCTAAAAATGAAAATGTCTTCTGTCTTAAAAGGTGAAAAACAAAGCCCCAGCTGAGGTACAGATAACTGCTGAGCAACTCTTAAGAGAAGCTAAAGAAAGAGAGCTTGAACTTCTTCCACCTCCACCTCAACAGAAGATCACAGATGAAGAAGAGCTAAACGATTACAAACTAAGAAAAAGGAAGGTCAGTCCGTCATTTTCCAGTCTATTAATAACATTTTTAGGAGTTTATAGGTCAGAGTTTGTGAAGTTCCTCATTGCTTAGAGAGGCTATAAGATAAAATTAGGTTAGTGTTTCTAGCCACATGCGTAGTGCAACTTCTGGTTACCAGATAATTGCATTTTGCTCAACTTTAGGAAATATGCCATGAGTTGTCTTTGAAAGTATGAAGATATTAAATCCTCCAGAGATCTAATTTTTGGTGCTGAATCCAAGATGGATGGCAGATAAGTGGAATGTCTGACAGCTGGAAGGGGTGGGACTTAACCAAGGCCACATTATGTCCTGTCTCTGTACCACCTTCCGTGGTAGGAATTAAGACTTGGAAAAGAGCCATGAGAGGACTTGGGAATCTGACCTCTTCACCCTAGAATCCTCACTCTAGGGCAAATTTTTTTTCTTTAAAGATTTTATTTATTATTTTGAGAGAGAGAGAACGTGCAAGCACGGGGAGGGGCAGAGGGAGAGAGAGAATCTTAAGCAGGCTCCACACTCATATCGTGGAGCCCCACTGGGGGCTCATTCTCACGATCCTGAGATCATGACCTGAGCCGAAATCAAGAATCGGAAACTTAACCGACTTAGCCATCCAGGTGCCCCTAGGGTAATTTTAAACCACTAACCCTGTTGTATCTACTTATTAGTGATGTATGAAATTGTGAGACATTACCAAGAGGACTGAAATAGTCAAAAAAACATTTTCATACTTGGAACAAGTATAGAGTATATTAAAGTATCAGTCATTAGCAGTAAGAGAAAATATCAATAAATCTGCTAATAACTCTTTATATCTAAAGTTTTTCTGTTTGTGTGTAAGACTTTAAAGAAACACCTGAGATTATAACCTTCATTAGTGAGTTTCTTATTTCTCACAAGGATTCCAGGATGTAATTTCTCCTAAATAAGAACAAACTAAATAAAACTTTTAGAGCAGGATTAATAGACAAAGGATGATGTCATTTTTACTTCCTTTTCCCTTCAATTTGATCCTTTTTCCCTTCCTCCAGACTTTTGAAGATAATATAAGAAAAAACAGGACTGTGATTAGTAACTGGATAAAATATGCACAATGGGAAGAGAGTCTAAAGGAGATTCAAAGGTAAAATTGCTGAGTCTATAATTTCAAATGTAAAGATGTCCTGAGTTAAGAGAGAGAAAAATAGTAGAAAAAGTTAAAGCACAAGTGAAAGAGTGTCCCTTTGGTAGTAGTTTTCCAGGTTGTTCCGTGGGTTCCAGGTTGTTCCTAGGGTTCCCTTGAGGGGCCTCAGGGGCACTGCGGTAGGCGAGTCCTGGGGGAGCAGCAGGGGAGACACTACAGGTGGGTCTCATCTCCAGCGCACGCTACAGTCAGAGAAGCGCACTTTCATCTGCTTTCTCTGTATTGGGATTTTTTTTAAATAAAAATTGTTCACTGGAAACCAGTGACCGACAAGATAAAAGTCACAACCTGGCCCTTCCTGTTGCCCAGGCTTTCCGCATTTTCCCAGCATACCCACTGCCCCAGCTGTGCCCATGTGCCAGCCACTCCCCGAACACATTGTGTCTCCTTGCTCTACGCTAGGCTGTTCTCTCTGCCTGCAGTGAGCACTCTTCCCTACCCACCTTGGCCTCTGGAGTTTTCCTCAACTTCTTAACTCTGCAGTTACCTCCTACTTAGCCATTCGCATCGGACATTATTATTTGTTCCCTTTTGTTTCCTTGTGTAAACCTTGATTATAACGTTTACCATATTGTGGTGAAATTACATGTGTGTCTATTTTTCTGTAAGAGTTTGTAAGGTTCCTGAAAACATGTCTTTTCACTTTCTTATGCCCAAAACCTGGCTCATGGTGGACACATGATAAAATAGCAGAGCACTGCAGATGGTTTGAGATAGTTGCCCCATGTGTTGTATATAAACTACTTTTGATGTTCTCCAAATCTGGCTTCTTAAGGGCTCGATCCATATACGAGCGTGCTTTAGATGTAGACTACCGAAATATTACACTCTGGCTGAAATATGCAGAAATGGAAATGAAGAATCGCCAGGTCAACCATGCCCGAAATATCTGGGACCGGGCCATAACAACTCTGCCTCGAGTCAACCAGTTCTGGTAAGTTTCTGATCTACCAAAAGCAGCTTTTTGTAGGCTAGAAAAGTTCTGCAGTCTTGTGTATTTATTTTATTCACATCGTTGCAATCACATGTATTTAATTTACATTCTACTTTTTCTTTAAACGTACTGTAAGTAGTTTTTAATATCCTGTAGTATATTAAGTCATAATCACTACATGTAATAGCTGTGTAATCAAAACTAAAATGTGGGTTGCAATCTTTTATGCATAAGAAACTTACTGTTGAACTAAGCAATTTTTAAGAAAAATGTATTTTTATTTGCTGTGGTTCATCCTTTCCAGATCTATATTTGATAAGAAAACATGTTCGATTTAAGCTTTAGGGAAGATAAAGCTCTAAGTCTTCATATTTAACAAAGTTAGAATTACAAAATGCAAAAGATCATTTTTTTTCCCTTAAGTAATTTTGACCATGACAGATATTTGGGGATGATTTTGTTAAAGGTACAAGTACACATACATGGAGGAGATGTTGGGAAACATTGCTGGTGCCCGGCAGGTGTTTGAGCGCTGGATGGAATGGCAGCCTGAGGAGCAAGCCTGGCACTCCTACATCAACTTTGAGCTGCGATACAAAGAGGTGGACCGGGCCCGCACCATTTATGAACGCTATATCCTTTTTTTTTTTTCTTCAAATTTTTATTTAAACTCTAGTTAGTTAAAATACAGTGCAATATTGGTTTCAGGAGTAGAATTCAGTGATTCATCACTTATATACAACACCCAGTGCTCAGCAAAACAAGTGCCTTCCTTAACACCCACTTATTTAGCCTTCCCTCACCCCCTCCCTCCATCAACCCTCAGTTTGTTCTCTTTTTTTTTATTATTATTATGTTATGATAGTCACCATACAGTACATCATTAGTTTTTGATGTAGTGTTCCATGATTCATTATTTGCGTATAACACCCAGTGCTCATTACAACACATGCACTCCTTAATACCCATCACCGGGCTAACTCATCCCCCCGCCCCCTCCCCTCTGAAACCCTCAGATTGTTTCCCGGAGTCCATAGTCTCTCATGGTTCATCTCCCCCCTCTGATTTCTCCACCTTCAGTTTTCCCTTCCTTCCCCTAATGTCCTCCATGCTGTTCCTTATATTCCACATATGAGTGAAACCATATAATTGTCTTTCTCTGCTTGACTTATTTCACTTAGCATAATCCCCTCCAGTTCCATCCATGTCAATGCAAATGATGGGTATTCATCCTTTCTGATAGCTGAGTAATATTCCATTGTATATATGAACCACATCTTCTTTATCCGTTCATCTGTTGAAGGGCATCTTGGCTCCTTCCTCAGTTTGGCTATTCTGGACATTGCTGCTATGAACATTTGGGTGCATGTGCCCCTTCTTTTCACTACATCTGTATCTTTGGGGTAAATACCTAGCAGTGCAATTGCTGGGTCATAGTGTAGCTCTATTTTTAGCTTCTTGAGGAACCTCCATACTGTTTTCCAAAGTGGCTGTACCAGCTTGCATTCCCACCAACAGTGTAAGAGGGTTCCCCTTTCTCCACATCCTTGCCAACATTTGTTGTTTCCTGCCTTGTTACTTTTTGCCATTCTAACTGGTGTAAGGTGGTATCTAAGTGTGGTTTTGATTTGAATTTCCCTGATGGCTAATGATGTTGAACACTTTTCCTGTGTCTGTTAGCCATTCGTATGTCTTCTTTGGAGAAGTGTCTGTTCATGTCTTCTGCCCATTTTTGACTTGATTATTTGGTTTTTGGGTGTTGAGTTTCAGAAGTTCTTTATGGATCTTGGATACCAGCCATTTATCTGTAATGTCATTTGCAAATATTTTCTCCCATTCCATGGGAGAAAAAGCTTTGCTGTGCAGAAGCTTTTTATCTTGATGAAGTCCCAAAAGTTCATTTTTGCTTTTGTTTCCCTTGCCTTTGGAGATGTGTCCTGAAAGAAGTTGCTGTGGCTGATGTTGAAGAGGTTACTGCCTATGTTCTCCTCTAGGATTTTGATGGATTCCTTTCTCACATTGAGGTCTTTCATCCACTTAGAGTTTATCTTTGTGTATGGTGTAAGAGAATGGTTGAGTTTGATTCTTCTGCATGTGGCTGTCCAATTTTCCCAGCACCATTTATTCCATTGGATATTTTTTCCTGATTTATCATAGTTGACCGTAGAGTTGAGGGTCCATTTCTGGAGGCTGTTCTGTTCCAGTGATCTACATGTCTGTTTTTGTGTCAATACCATGCTGTCTTGGTAATCACAGCTTTGTAATATAGCATGAAATCAGGCAACGTGATGCCCCCAGCTTTGTTTTTCTTTCTGAACATATCCTTGGCGGTTTGGGGTCTTTTCTGGTTCCACACAAATTTTAGGATTGTTTGTTCCAGCTCTTTGGAAAATGCCAGTGGTATTTTGATAGGGTTGGCGTTGAAAGTATGGATTGCTCTGGGCAGCTTAGACATTTTAGCAATGTTTATTCTTCCAAATCCATGAGCATGGAATGTTTTTCCATCTTTTTTATCATCTTCAATTTCTTTCATAAGTGTTCTGTAGTTTCTGGAGTATAGATCCTT